ATTTTGATCTTTCTCTCATTAAGATTATATGATAAAAAGTAACTTTTATATTTATTTTGTATTGTCTTGATCAATATTTGATGATTAGAGTCTTTTATGATGAACTGAGCTGAAGCAAATAAAATTTCATCTTTGTACTATATCGAATGCTGATATTTTTTTCCATCATGTATTGAATAAATCGATCGCTTTGAGACAGTTGACTTTCTCTGAAAACAGTTCTCAAGTTTGTCCGAAAGACATAACAATACAAAAAAATATGTTTCGTTATCAAGGAACGAGGGACTACCGGGACTTATTTTTTCGGGATTTATTTTTTCTAGCGGACTTATTTCTTTATTGAGGATTTATTGTGATTTATTACACACCCACACCCACACCCACACTCTTCTCGAGCACTTTTCGTTCGTTATCAAATTATATCCAAAAAAGACGAATTTACTAGAACTTCGTTCGTTTTTTTTTATTCTGAGATAATTAAAAGGAAGACAAGAAGAAAAGTTAGACCCTGCTCTCTTTGTGCATAAGTTAAAAGGCTGTGGATATAATTGATTATAACAAATTAATCATTTAAATAATTAAACGATCAATCGGAAGCACTTACCAGAAACCAATCGATATGCGTCCATAGAGTTCTCACAGTTATAAGTTTCATTATGGCTACTTTTCATGCTGCTCCACACTTTGATCAACTGATTGATAAAAATATAAATTTTTCGATTTATAGGGTGTTGGTGTAAATATGATATGTCTCTTCATCCACACCGACACTTAGATATTGTGCACCTTGATCTGTAATGCCATTAGTTTGTAAGCCGAGACCTTTAATAACCGTATTGTTGATTGCAACACCCTGTGTCAGAAATTAAGCGTCTTCACCACCGATAGGATTACCTCATAAAGACAAGCCAGTTAATGTTGTATTCTTATGCAATACATCGACTAAGATCGCCACCCTTTCCAATGATATTGTTTTGTGAGAAGATAAGCGATGTACATTGCTTATTAAAAATTGCTTGTTTGATCACGGTCAGGATATCTTAATTAATCGATTGCTTCACAGATAAATCTATTTCCAAGTGAGATTGGCATATGATAATGAATTGATCGAGTTTAGTGTTGCAATAATTGTTGTTGGTCATGGACGATTGTTAACAACGACAGTTATGATCTGATGAAAGAAAAAAAAGTTGTTTTAAGTTACCAAAATGAAATCCTTTGGTCTGTTGTTACTACACATCGTTGCTAACAGCAAAAGAAGCATTCCGAAAGATTTTTCAAAATAACAATTACTGACTTCAAGCAACAACACCGTACAAATTGATTGACATGTTTCTCTTATTGCCACTATATGTAAATGTGAGTAATACAGAATAATAAACACAAAACGCAACGTCAGCTGTGCCATAGTCGACTTCAAGAAAATAAGTTTTACATCTTACGTTTATCAAATCTTTGTTTTGAATACGAAAAATAAGAAAGAAGGCGGGGCGACTCAATTACAATTATTGAAGAGACCATCGAATCATCATGAATGTATATGTGGAAATTGATACTCACAAACATCTCTTATTATAAGCGAAAGACGTACTGTAAAATCCTAAAAGAAATGCAGTTGCAAGACTCTTATAGTTGCTGAAAAAACGTTTTATACTAGCGTTCAACGAGAGCACCTTTATTTTTTCTTTGCATCTTCACAAAAAAAAACATTCAACTTTTTTTCATAAAAAACGTAACTCTCACTTGACTTTTTCTTCTTGCATTTACGAAGCACATTGATGTGAATTCAATGTGAAAGAAAAGCGAAGTACAGAAAAGGAATAATTTCTCTATTGGATTTTGATGTTCTAGAATATATCTACTGCTCAAATATCACTCGTTAGAAGATACACTTTATGCTTGATATAAACTAATCTTGGTTTTCTTCGTACTTCTATCTCAATAATAATCAACCAACACGTAGTGAATAACTGAAACAACAATGAACAAACCTGAAGTAAGATGAAAGCTGTAAAACATCCTGGCGTATTTGAAAGTAGTCTATCTACAAGGATTTCTAACCGAAATATTTCTATTGTTCTTTCGAAACAAAAACAGATTAGTTTTGATGAATAAGATGTCAAACTTCTATTTACATATCTATAATAGATGGTGTGTGTTTTACATCACATTACAAGCACAGCACACTGATGCTCATATCCTAAAGTTTGATTAATGCGTTTTTTGGAACAAATTAAATATTCTTAACAGTGTAGGCTGCCGTGTGTAGGCTAGAGAGAATCTTTTTGAATGGCCATGTGTTACAAGATGATATTGTACTGTGTTTACGAGCATTCAAACGTTTTAAGTTCAAAATTATTGAGTTAAAAGAAAATCTTAATGAGGCAGAGGAAATGCTATGCAATTCGAGGCATTTCTGAAAGTGTGATGAATTCTTTGACTTCAAGATTCTGTCTTTCACTCGTTAATCGAATCATTCTATTAATAACTTCTAGATATTGACTGTATAGTAATAAATCGACCAAGTTAAATTTTTATTATCTTCTTTAGGCGACTCAAGCAAATGTTGTAATCAAATATTCTACAGATGCGTTACATCATTTTTCAGACTACATAAAACAAGCACAACCATCTACCATTTCTTTTTTTTTTCTTAGTATTTATGAAAGATATCTACGAAAACTTTTTTTAAGCAAGAATTGTCAAACTTAGCTAGTTGTCTTTTCTTTTGTCATACTTATCACTTTTTTTGTGCTTGACAAAGATGCAACTATAGACATGAAATAACCAAGTGATGATTATCATGCATAGTCATAGACATGATATTCAAATTCATGAAAACAGGGTGTGGTGGGTGTGGACAGTGGCGTAACCATGGGTTGGCAAATGGGCAATTAGGTGTGGATGTGGGCGTGGGATGTGAGTGTGAGTGTGACGGTGTGGATGTGGGTGTGGGTGTCTTCTCTTCATTCACACAGCCACCCACACCGACACCCACATCCTTGAGGAAACTTTCTCTTTATATGTAATCATACCAAAAACAATGGTCTATGTTTCCGTGATATTTGATCATTCTTTAACTAATATATCATAATAATAAAATTTCGATAAGAGCTGTTGGTTCTGATATGTGACGATAAAATTAGGTCACATTGTTCTCGATGTGTTTTCTTATTTTGCTTTTCTCTTTGTAGATGTTGATATTCTCTTGTCTCACACCTACGCACCGTATACTGCTACAATGCATAACTATGTACAGAATAGCACAAAATTTGATTTCCGCTAACTCCATTGCAATAGACAAAAACTCAATCTATACGACAAAAATAGTTACATCTTTCCTTATAAAAAAATGTTTATAGAAGTGGCTGTTTGTCTCATGGAACCGATAGGATGGAATGAGACAGAAACTGCAGAAAATTATCCTATCCAATGAGACATTTATCAAAATATTTACGTCTCATCTTTTCTCATGGGCTGCGATGGGAAATTCCCATCTTATCTTACGGGATGAGAATTTCTTGTCCCACGCGAAGCTCTGCCGTATATAAATATCATTCGCACATCATAGACATACATACACACAATTGCATATATATATATTCATATCAAAATTGTTAGAACGCTGTTAACAGAGGTAAGTTTGAGTAGTATTTCCTTCTTGTGCTCGTTATAATCGACATTCATCGTATTAGAATAAATGGAAAAAGATTATAAAGAAAATTAGACAATTCCGGTATTTCAATATCAATATCTATCAATCTCCTTGATACTAAAAAAAAATTTACCAAATCCAAACCGTTTGGAAGTTGGGTTTGGATTTCTGTCTCTATTGTTTTTATGTAAATATAAGGAAAAACATATTTCTACATTTTACATTGCCAAGTGCCAAAATCAAATTATTTGATAAGTATAAGTGCTCGACCAATATCAGATCTTCTTCTCGTATTCACTTTTTCGAGATGCCTGTCTGGTGTTTTATTATAAATCGTAATAGTTGTTTTGAACGCCCAATTGATGGCATTTATGTATACACGATAATTTTTAGATTCCAGCTTTGATCTAAAAATGCCATTTCAGTGAGAATCAGATATTGTTCTAAAAAGAATGAAAAAAACTACTACCTTTTCTATATTCACTGTGAAATAAAAGTTTTGAAAAGAATAACGACAAAAAGGAGGCCTATAATAGCGAAGATCAAGGGGCAAAGAGATGATGAAGGTAAAAGAGGATGCCACGACTATGCAATCAACATTTGTCGTTTTATCTCACGAAAAAAGTGCTTGGTCGCGTTACCGTTTTCTACGGTTAGTTTTCAAACTGAGATATTGCGAATATTAATACAAACACGATGCAATAGCACCAAGGATCTGAGCTAAAAATTATTCGCACTAAGAATGCACTAGAGAACGTCGACGACAATTCGCTAATGGTCGTTAAGAAAAACTACATCAATAAAGTTAAGAAATCCCATAAAGATAAAATTTAGCATTAAATTCAACAGTTAACACTTACTTTTTTACTCAATATAGATGCGAAGGAAAATCTTGAACATAGAATTTAAGTTAATGAAAGTGTTATACCTCTAATCTTTGTTACATAACAGCATTCATCAGTTTATTAAAAACCTCCATTGGAAGGATTGAATACCTCTATCTATATTGTTAGACTTCTCATAATATTTAATATGGCAGAAGTCAAATCAAATAAAAGAGAAAAACTCAAATTTTGCATAGTATTTTTTTTCTATTGCTAAAGAGATGCTATTCGATTGTTTTCGTTACAGAAGCATTTAATGTCACTTGTTTACGTATAAATAAGTGAAAATTTATGAAGTAATGAGGTATTTTCACATGATTTCTCTTTAACTGATGTTGTGTTATTACGTTTCACATGAAAAAATAGTCTTCTTTTGGACAACTAGAAACATATGTATATTTTGTTCATAATCACTGCACAAAAGAATACAAATCAGGTTTTTTTTCATCTGCTTTTAGAAAATGCAGTCGTTTCCAGTGTTAATTTTCGTTGGTATGGTAGCACTGATCGTTGGCACTGCTACACAAAAGGATTCCGAACGTTTTATAATCACTGGTAATAAGATTGAAAGTGCTGCTACAAACATACATAACGAACAAATTGCAGCAACTAATATGGGCCGGTTTCGATATCAAGGTGGTGAAGTCACTCTATTTCAAAATCAACTCAAGCCATCCGACTTTTTTTTTACACCGTTTCCACATATCGAACCGAATCTAACTGACTGTAACGACAATGAATTCAGCGGTTACACCGAACTTACCTTGGTTGTTTCGCTCTATACTACAAATTTACTCGAAGCCGTTGAGCATGATATTAAAAAAAAACATCAAGATAAATGTGATACTCAACACTGTAAAGTTTCACTTTTGCCAATGCATTCCATCCGTCTCATTCATAAAGGGCGTCAATCACCTGAGTCTCAAAAAAAATACACTCTGGCTGGTGAATGGCATAGTAATACACAACTTCGACAAGCAGTTGAATTTATTATCTACACATCTAATATGTCTGTTTGTCAAAGCTTGAAAAATTCAATTACCTCACGTTGTAGTTTATCGAATTTTGAAGTTCAGTACTCATTACAAGGTCAACAGACAGCAGCTCGAACTCTTGAAGTGACCACCGAACATGTAACGAAAACGTCGATGTTCAATAAAATAAAGTCTCAATTACCTTCAAATGCTCAAGACACAATTGCTTTGACTGGTGATGACTATAAAGATCTTTTGAGTGAAACCATGGATCAAATTACAATGAATTTACGAGTTGAAGAAGGTTTTGAAAGCATACAAGATTCAATTGCAATCGATCAAATGCTTGATCGTCAACTGCAGGACAAGCACGCTAAATTGACAACAGCAAACGATCACATGTGGGATTCGCTGTATTGGACACCTGAATTAACACGACCCGATCGGTTATCGAAAGTACTAAATAAAGTTATAAAACAAGATGCTACAGATTCGGATAAATTTCGCTACGATTATTCACAGGCAGATGAAGCTATAAAACAAAATTTAAAACTTGACGAACGACAAAAGCTTGAAAATTTTCAAAAACATTTGGCGGCACAATCTAGAAATACAACACATACAAGCGATGTTGATACGCATGTCGGCTATGAATCAGGCGGCAGTTTTGCCGGCATAGCCTCGGGAAATATGAAATTCAATACAGACGTTAGTGTTTATAATCAAAATACAGACAGCAGAAGTTCGTTGAATGATGATATCATTCACTACAAAATAAATATGAACCAATTGAACGACACGAATAACGAGAGAAAAAATGGTACAACAATCATTCTAGAACGAAAAAATGCGGAAAAGTTGCTGCGGTATTTGTCAAAGCACGTTGAAATTGAAGGTGAAATTATCAAACCGAAAGCAATCGATGTTATACTCGTCAAGTTCGGTTCATTAAAATCTTACACAAAGCTGTTCTCCAATACGGTTTATGTAAAAACTCGAATGAACGTACACGTTTTACCACTTGGCTGCCCATATGCACTTCGTCATCCTTCATCAGCTACCTGGCTTGAAGAAACATATTATCACTTATCGAGTATTCTCAATAATTTAACAAATATCATTGACGCCAAATACGATCGCTTATCAAATACCGTTGTTGCCAAATATGATCAATTAAAATCAGACACAGATAAACAGTTTGCAGCACTTACATCATCAGAAACAACGATTAAAAATAATATCGAACTCTTAAATAAACGCACAACCAATCAGCTGACAGAACTTAACTCTTCAATAACATTGATCAGTAATAAATTCTCATCTCTAATTACAACACTGAAGGGTAAGTTTAAGTTCAATTTATTTAATCGTGCGAGAAAAGTAAAAAAATGAATTATGTGAAGAATTTGCTATTTTCACTTCGTAATATCACACGATATGATCTATTCAGTATCAATAATACAATACAAAAAAATTATAAAATCAGAATAGAAATAGAACTTTTATCTTCCGATAACCGATCTGCTGTTCTACCAATTTTACTGATGACATGCTGCAGATATAATCTAGAAGATATTGGCTCAGAAACGATTTTCACAACAGCAGACTACAAAGATTATAGTAAAAAGCTGACAGAATGTTCTTCATATTTTTCAGATTAGGATTCGGATGGATCTTGTTTTTTTCCTGCTTGAATCCTCGTCTAACTACTTTTCAGTTCTAGTAGCTGTCTAATAGGAACACTTGGACCGGATTTTCACCATAACTTCATAAGATCTTTCGATTTTTTGTGCTGAAATTCTTGTGAAAGAACAAGTGATAGATGAGGAATAAATCATGCTAAGATCATGCGCTTCTGATTAAGAAGAAAGTCTGACCATGAGTTTGACGTTATCTGAAGAAAACGATCTTTGAAGATCCTACTCGAATCCTCATGTATTTTTATCAAGATCCTGGTTAGAATAAGCATTAGTCTTTAAACTTATCGTCCTAATTGTTCTTCATAGCCTCCATATAGGAATCTGAACACTTGTAATGGCGATACTCATAGCAACAACGGAACGAATTTCACGAGCTTCATGGAACCTTATCCATATTTAATAGTTAGGAATCCTGACGAAACTTGCGATTTTCTGACTAAGATTCTCTTTCTATGTATCTCTTAATCATATCAATATGATATTATGAATACCAGCACCAAATTTCTGTAAAAGCCTGTCGAAAGCCTCACAGGAACCATATTTGCAAATCTTGTCAATATCCTAAGTATAACATCGAGAGTGACTAACTGTACAATTTTGAATGCATAACTTAAAAGAAACACTTTCCAAAAGCTCAGAGAAATCGCAATGAAAGTGAGGGTGCGAGTGAGGGTGAATGAGTGTGACTACCACAATACTTAGAAGTATTTTGCTGTTGCAGATAAAAAGATTATCAAATGGCATAGTGTTAGTACAAAAATGATCGGCAAGAAGATAAATGAGTAAAAAATACTGAATACAATTTACTCGAAAGCAGAATAATTATCTCGTCGTTTATTATCTTTTGGTGGATTTAATCTTCTTCTTGGAGAGAAAAAATCTATACTCACTCTCTAAATAGTGAGTATTCACTTTCGAGTAGATTTTATTTGGTATTTTGTTCTGATTTCTCTTACTGATAATTGTTTTTTGTACTAATAGTATGCCACTTAATAATTTTTATATCTGCAAAAGAAAAATACTGCTAAGTATTGTGGTAGTTATACTCACCTTCACACTCACACTCTCAGCCTCAAGATGAATTGTCTAGTCGTATAAGTATGTTGCAGAGAAAGATTGATTCTTTAGAAGAACTAGTTCAAGGTGAAATGGCTACTGTGAAGAAGCATTTGGAACTCGAAATTGATCGAGAGCGACAGAATACGAACAATCAAAGAACTGTGTTAAAACAAGACATCGTTCAGCTCAAAAATGAAATATCTGGGCTCAAAGCTACACCTCTCTGGCCAAACGGAAAATATTGTATTATCGCTCCAAAGTATGGATGTCCGGCAGGTTTCATGGGTCATCACATTTGCTTGGACACAGAGGATAAGGACAACGCCGACGATTGGAGTTCCTTGCCTACCAGTATTTCTCGTGGTAGCTGTGGTGGATCCTCTTTTCGGATCGAACTTTGCTGTCGATGACCTTCCCAATAATAGACTGAACATTTTCAAGCAACTTTTACCAGCTTTTTAAAAGATTAAAACCCTTCCCTTCTATCAAACTTTGGATGGAAAATAAAGTTATTGTTGCCGGTGTGTGACTTTAGAACGATCAAGAGTGAATATGAAGAATAAATATCAGAATCGCGATGTCACCTCAATTAAAATGAATGAGAAAAATCTTCAGGTCGTATATAGTCTGCATTAGAATTTAAATACAATATCAAGGGT